CATCCCCCAGCCTGTATTGATACAGGGGGTTAGCCCAACCCAGGTGAAGAGCCCTGAACTTACCTTTGTTGAACCTCATGAGATTTGTATGGGCCCACCGGTTGAGCCTATCCAAGTCTCTCTGCATAGCTTCTGATCCCTCAGGCTTGTCAGCTTCACTACTCAGCTTGGTATCATCTGCAAACTTGCTGACAGCACACTCAACCCCACTGTCTACATTGCTGATGAAGATATTAAACAGTACTGGCCCTTGAGAGATGCCACTTGTCACTGCTGTTCATCCAGACATTGAACTGTTGACTGCTACCCTCTTTATGAGACCATCCAGCCAATTCCTCATCCACCAAATGGTCCATCTATCAAATCCATATCTCTCCAGTTTAGAGAGAAAGATATTGTGGGGGGCTGTGTCAAGGCTTTACAGAAGTCCAGGTAGGCCACATCAGTAGCCCTTCCTTTTTCCACTGGTGTAGTAACTCCATCATAGAAGGCTACTAGGTTGCTCAGGCAGGATTTCATGCTGGCTGTCTCAAATCACCTCTGTTACCTCTGTGTGACTTACCATAGCTCCTAGAAGGATCTGTTCCATGATTTTCCCAGTCACAGAGGTAAGGCCAACAGGTTGGTTGTTCCCAGGGTTCTCTTTTCTACCCTTTTAAAAAGTGAGTGTGATACTACCCTTTTTCCAGTCACCAGGGACCTTGCCTGACTGCCATGACTTCTCAGATATCACAGGGAATGGCTTGGTAACTTCATCAGCCAATTCTCTCAGGACTCTGGGTTGGATCTCATCAGGACCTGTAGACATATGTATATTCAGGTTGTTCAAATGGTCACAAACCTGATCTTCACTTACAGTTGGAGAGACTTTGCTCCCCCAGTTCCCACCTTGCAGTTCATCCCCTTGAGAGGTGTGGGGAGAGAGCCTGCCAGTGAAGGCTGAGGCAAAAATGTTGTTGAGTATCTTGGCCTTCTCCTTGTCCATTGTTACCAGTTTACCAGTCTTGCCCATCAGGGGGTGCACACTTTATTTGACCTTCCTCTTCTGGTTGACATACCTATAGACACCTTTCTTGTTATTCTTTGCACCTTTTGCCAATTTTGGCTCCAGCCTCACCTTTGTCTTTCTAATCCCATGCCTGCACAATCAGGCAGTGTCCCTATACTCTTCCCCGTATATATGTCCTTGCTTTCACTTCCTGTATATTTCCTTCTTGCCCTTTAGTTTGACCATCAGGTCTCGACTCAGCCGTGACGGCCTTTTGCCTGGGGATCACAAGATCTTGCGCCCTGTGGAAAGCATCCTTAAAGAATGGCCAGCTCTGTTCTGCTCCCTCATCCCTGAGGGCAGCTTCCCAGGGAGTCCTATTGAGTAACACCTTAAAAAGCTGGAAGTTGGCTTTCCTAAAATTCAGGGTCCTGACTGTACTCTTTGCCTGTTTTACCACCCTCAGGACTGAGAACTACTGCAATTCAGGCTGCCTCCAGTCTTGATCTCACCAATTAGCTCACTTGCATTGGTGAACATCAGGTCTAGTATCTCATTCCCCCTGGTAGAGCTATTACCTGGCTTAGGAAGTGATCCTCAATGCACTCCAGGAGTCTCCTGAATTGCCTACAGCTCGCTGTGCTACTTTTCCAGCAGATGTCAGGATAGTTGAAGCTCTCTAGCAGGACAAGAGCCTCAGGCTATGATGCCTTCTGTAGCTGGAATAAGAAGGCTTCATCAATAAGTCTTGCCCTGATCAGGTGTCCTGTGGTAGATCGATCACAGTTTCCTTTGTTACCTTTGTCCCTGATTCTTACCAAAAGCTTTTGACCTTCTTGTGGTTATTTTTCAGAAACAACTCTTTGCACTCTATCTCTCTATTGATGTAGAGGGCAACCCTTCTACCTTCCTTGCCTATCTCTTCTGAACAGCCTGTAGCCATCAATAGCCACACTCCAGTCATGGGATCTGTTCCATGAAGTTTCAGTAATGGTCACCAGTTCATTGCTTTCTAGCTTTATGGCAGCTTGAGTTTAGCTCAACTGAGAACCTTCTACCTAACTTAGGAAATGCATATTGTCTTGCACACCTATCTAAAAACCCGGGCTTCCGGGTGGGACTCGTTTCTTGGCCGGTGGTATCGTATTCTCTTCCCTTGTTATTTTCTCTTATCATTGTTGTCGTTGGTGGTAGCGGTGGTGATTTGTGTTGTACATTGGTTGCTGGACTGTTCTTGTCTCAACCCATGGGAGTTGCACTCTTTCGATCCTCCTCCCCGTTCCTCCAGGAGCGGGGAAGGGGAGAGCCCCGGGGGGGGGCCCTCGATTGCTGTCAGCCCGGCACCACTCACTGGGAGTAAGTGAACAAGCTGTCTGGCTAGGGTTTAAACCAGGACAACATTATAAATGGGAGTGCTTTGACAAGAAGTTGAAATTAAGGCCGAATAGGTAGGTTTAAATTCACACATGCACATATATGTATGTATTAATAGTACTTATATGAATGTATAAACAAATTTACTTATACACATTAAATGGGAGCCTGCAAGTGCAAACCAAACAATAGATCAAAATTCCCCATGAAAATATACAATGGAGAGTAAAAAAATAAGCACAACCTAAAAAAAACCCCTGCTACTTTAATTATTATATAAGATGTAGATTGGGATTTAGATTATACTCTACACATTGATGCAAGATAGTCTGAACCTAAAGTTTGCAAGATTTAATTTTCTGTTGCTATTAATGAATTTTACAACAGCAGCTGCCCCCTGTGTCTCAGTATAAAAAGCAGTGTGTATACCTAGCACAACATTTGCAGACCTCCTCAGTTTTGTGTTTTTAATGTGATGAAAAATTGCACAAGTAACAAAGGAAAATGTCATGGTAACTAAAACATTTCCTATACATGTATTTTAGAGTGAAGTTAAATCAAAGGTCTTCAAAGAATTACTAGGGTTCTTTCTAGGAGGTTATTGACAAATATGTAGTTTGTCTTCTGAGTTTGTGCCTCTTTCACAGATTGGTGTATTTGTGATCCCACAGGCAGGAATAAGTGTCTGTAATTCATTTCTCCTTGTTAACTAGTGTGCTTTTGTGTGTAGGATGATTGACAGCAAACTCGGCTTAGTCCCAACGGATGAGCTTGTTAGCAAAACCCTAGCATCCTATCTCTAATAAAGCATATCAGCAGTACATTTTGTCCTATCTATTAGCCTCTCTGTTTCTTTTTTGTGAAAAGCTGAGTGTCCCTTTGAAGCAATGACAAATAAACCCCTGAACTGAAGTGCTAGGCTGCCTTATGGACAGCTGGATAGTAAATGTCACACCGTGTATAGAATGCCTATTATCAGAGTGAGCCATTTGTTCCATTCCTTTCAGTATCTTAATGTAATACAAAATTGCTAAATCAAGCCCCATGTCTGTGACAGAACATAATTAATGAGAAAGCAGGAGCCAATTCAACACTCTTTATTGGGACCTAATTGGCTCAGGCAACAGAGTTGTCACTCAACAAGAGATTTCCTTTAAAGCAATTTTGTTCTTGGTTGTATTACAGAGCCTATTAAATTGTCCCCTCCTTGATCACACAAAGAAGTATCTGCATGCAATAATTAGCTTTTCCAAGGGGATTTTTTTTTAACTCTTTCAATAATAGCACATTTTCAAGCACTGCTGGAGGAAACAGACAGCACAGGGAGATGTGCAGCCTGTGGACTGAATAATTGTAATAAATGCATTTTGGGAAAGCCTATGTGCAGCATATCAAAGCTACCACTAGTACATGATGTGGTGGCCTGACTTCAGAGAAGGTTGCAGGTCAAGCTGGGCATCTGATATTTGCACTCTGTTCAAACTGCTCAGCTAAAGGAGCAAGTGAAAGTGTAGAGGTATGGATTGTTTAAAAGAGTGCACTGCTTCTGACATAATATTAAGCCATCATGAGGAATGAGAGGTCCCGTTTTCTAGGGTCAGTATTTGGATCTTAACGATACTAGAATGAGCAGCTGCTCATTCTAGTAGGAATCAAAACCTAGCAATCTTTTTTCCTGTAAATGCCGATCAGATTTTCATGGACTGTGTGTTTTTTTTAATCAGTAGGTTGTTACTGCAGAGTAAACTAGTGAGGGAACTCTGTAAGCATTAACGAAGAATTTTTTTCCCCACCCAAACACCGAACATCACGCTTTGGAGTTAAACAGTACTAAAATTGACTAAAAAACTGCTTATGTAACCTTCAAAAGCATAACTCTCTACCACTAAGTAAAAAACAACTTATCAAAACCAAAATAGATCACGTCTTGAAGTCCAGTGATTTAACCACCATCAAAAATGTTCAGATGTGTTCACATATGTCTGTAGCTTGCAATACATAACTTATTTTCCAGCAGATTTCAGCTGTAGATACTAAACCTCGTAAGAACTCATTTGAAAGCCAAATAACAAAAAATAGAGGGTCCTGAACCAGTTGAATATCTCTGTGTTTAGAAAGACTTATCATAAGTTGAGCATTTCCTGTTCAGTGTAGAATTAAAGTTAGTATTGAAGTGAAAGACTTGGCCCACTTTTTTCACAAAATTATGAACATATAATCCTCTCTGTTACCATTTTCTGAGATGCGTATATGACTCACTCACAACTCATTGCACCTGTTGAAAATAATTCGGGAAATACAATGATACAAAACATCATGTTATCTATTTGTCTGTCTGTTAATTGATATTTAATACTGGTATATTAGTTGTTACTTTTTTGAGAATCCTAAGTGAAAGAAATCAATATATTTGGTGTTTAAGAATCAGAAGATCTTAGTACTTCTTCTTATGTCTCCAAAAGGCTAGAATGATGTCACTAATCATATGGTTAATTGTGTGCTATCATTTATATTATTATTTTCTTCAGGGTAAAAAATTCCAGGTATTTCAAAGGGAATGATGAAAACAGAATTGAAAGAATGCAGAACATTTTCTCCCTCCCCAAGCCTCTCCAAAGAAATACATGTTTAATGGGTCTTTGCATATGTTATCTCTGCAGTTTTATTAAGTTACTGTCATGAACACATTTTGATTTGTACATTTTACATAGCTTCTTTAGTGGTACAAGTTCATTAACATCTGCTCTAATATGCATGCAAAGTAAAGCATTTCTAATATCCGCCCCTTTGAAGAGTGAGCTAGAAGAGAATACATAAATATCTTACAAAAGACATTTTCTGTTTTTTCAGATTTAAGAAAGTGCAAGACAAAATCCGAAATGCAAATGGCAATCAACACTGTCCTTTCCCAGGTGACTTATGAAGAGTAGGAAAGCATATATTCTGAGCGCAGTTTTATAAGCTTATTCTAGTAACAAGTGAAAATGATTAAAAAACCTACATAATCTAATTTTCTTTTCAATAATTTGCAATCAATATTATAAAACTAAAATTTTTTTATATTATGATTAACTCTATATAATCTAGAATACTAAGGGACACTGAAGGGTTTTAAAGAGTCTACTATATTCATCTGCTGAGATTTTTGATGAGTCAAATTAGAATGTTAAAATAATAGACATTTAAACTGAAACGTTGCACAGACTTTTAACAAACAAATATTATGTGAAAAAATAACCATGGAAAAGATGTTTTGGGAATACATTCAAAACAGAACTTATTTAAATGTTTTATCAAATAAAAAGGTTCTCTGATACTGTTTTCGTCCAAAAAATACTTGAGTTCCTAAGTGAATTGCCAAGCTTCTGTAGTTTTGGCCATCATAACTGTTTAACATGAGTTAGATGCCATGCTGTTTGAATATAACACAAGACCAAAAGGCTGTTTCTCTTGTTTCAGAAAACCTTGGGCCACATATTAGTAACAGCCTCCTGACAACACATAGCCAGAAGTTATATATCCCCACATGTCTGTACTTGGAAAATCACTATCATTGATGACATAAAAGTGAGGCCTAATCAAAAGAGAAATATGACATCACTTGGTTGTCATTGCAAACATAATTAGAAGTGTGATTCCAGCTAGTGATTATTAATAATACAGTAACTATAAAAAAGACAATTCATATTAGTTATGCATTGTGTCTCTATTTAATGTATAAGGACAAGACCTTGCATCTCCATTAGCTGACAGTGGTTAGCAATAAGATGGGAGTAAGACACCAGGTTTTGTGTGTTATACAAGCAAAGTTATTATGATGCATAAGGAACATTGTTTAGATCTGTAAGTTTCCCTTCTTACATATGCAAGGACCTCGAACAGATGTCTCAGTAAGGGCTGGTTTACATAATGGCTTTGAACTGTTTTCTTGTTTTGATAAACAAAACATTGTTATTATTAGTAAATCTGGCAAAAATGTCTGAGTCAGGAAAGAAAACCTTCCATCATCTTTTCTGTCTAGTATTATCTGTAACACCCCACAATTTTATCCTATGAAAATGATGACAAATTCTTTAGCATACAATTTTCCAGAATATTATGAAAATGACACCTTTTTCATGTAAATGCTGTCTGCTTTCTTCATCTCATATAAAAATGTAGTACTATGTGCTCTAATAGCTTGGTCCCAGTGGCCTAATTTTACACAGGTCATTGTATTTCAGAAATGAAAATACTGAATGCTCTAAGCAGTCTTAGATTTCTAGGCAGTGGCTCTGAGGGAGTCTGCAACCTCTGAATCTGTCATGTAACCAGACTTTTCTTCAGCACAAAGTATGATTAAAAGTAATAACACATGTCATACCACTGTGGCAATGCCAACACAGAGGATGCGTTTCTACAGAACAGATGGTACTTGCAATGCTAAGAAGTCTATTCTCTTCATTTTACCTCATTGTTGCTTGGCTTCTGTGCCTTCTCACACACGTCACACATTTGAAAGTGTGCACGATGTCCTCTTTCTAAAGGGCATGAACACATGAACTCATATAAATAAGATTGGAATGCAGATTAATTTATATAGAGCATAATTCAAGAGACTTAAAAACAAATAATAGTATATTAGCAGAGAACTGCATAGCTATTATTTTAGAAACTAAGGCACTGGTAATTTTGAAAAGCTAGGAAAGGTGTTATTCCTGTAAGACATAACAGGGATCAGTTCACCTCCTATGCTACAGATACTAGTGTGAAACACAACAGCTTCAGGAAGTGCTGAGTAAACTACATGATAATTTAAGACTGAACATTATGAAGAATAATTTAAAATACAAAAGAAGGTGAGGCGGGCAAAAATCCAGCTGACCTTGATCCAAAATTGATGCTTTTGTAAAAAAATCCTGGGAGACTTGATGACTGTAAAAGTTTTCTAAATATCACTCGCATGTTGGCATGTCTAATATTTCAGTAACTAACAGCAAGATACCAAGGCAAGAAGTTACATTTATAAAGAACCAGAGGAACAAGTGCCTTATATGATCAAAAATATTGAAGGTTTTTATTTTTCTTTACAGGTCTGTAAAACTTCTAAATTCACATTTATGCAGATTTTGCTGATAACAAATTGAGGAAGAAAGGCTTCAAAGTGTACAAAAGGAAGAAAGTTCTGACTGTTACTGTTCTGGCCTACAACTCGGAAGGTTTATGTCCCGCTTCAACAGATACTGTTCTGCCTGTTTGTTTCTCAGCTGCGTTAGAAGTGAGGTTCAGGACATGAACGTAATATCAAGAAACAGGGAGAGTTAGAACTACTTCATTGAGCAAGCAGAAGAGATCTGCTGTGAACACACCAAAACTAGTCTACTAAAGAATGAGTCCATATGTAGTGTCATAATGAAATGTGATTTCATTTTTGATTAACAAGAGGATGAGTAATGGCACTGTGTGCCATTTTACACATGCTTTTGGCAGCCTGAAAATGACAAAAACGCCCTGAAAATGAGGCAAAATTAACTGCCATAGTCTATCCACATATTACCTGAAAAGTTCTGAAAACCTGCTCAATCCTCTTCCATGGCTGCTATGGGGTGCTCTGTACTGAGAGATATTTAATATTCAGCATGAATAAAGACTTGGAAAAATGCTAGCATATGTAGCATTTATATTTTAATATCATCTGCAGCATTCTCAATTTTTTCCACAATCATTCTTTTCTGCAATCAGTCTAGTATAAAAGGACCTGCTATAATAAATTGGTCAGCCTGTTACATGTCTGCCTATCTTGGTGGTAAGACTGAGAAGCTTGCTAATTGCATGGTATGTCATGGATTTCACAATGGCTGCTGAACCACAGTGACTCACAAATTATAATTTCATTCATCTTTATTTCTGCTAATTAACTTTGTTTTCTTTCTCTCTGATTCCTTTTCTCAGGAAGAAAACAAGAAAACTTTTTGTAAATCACTCGCCTTCACTGGGTTATGTTTGAAATTTAAGTAGGACACAAATAGTGAAGAAAAAAATAAATTATTCTGCCCTTCGTTATCTACTCAGTTAAGGGATCTTCAGAGTTGTGAACTTCACTGCCCTAGACAAGACATACTGACACAATATGTAGCAATTTTCATGAATACCTCATGGAAAAAGAATAGCTTTTCTGTGTTAATCAATGATTAATTGTTCAAAGCTAGAGATCTGTAGTCCTTGGAATCTTTCAAAGTTTTTGTTAAAGCATCAGGAATCCTTCAGGCTTACTGCAGTCTGTCTTAACGTTGAAACTTATATTACAGGTTATGATCCCTGCAAATAGAAGGGCTTTGTTATGTTCATTCTGCATTGTCTTTCTTACTATGGCATTCTAACCAGACTATGCTGGGATCTGTTGGCAAATGCAATTCATTACTGATGATCCTTTTCTGTTAGACCCTTCCTGGCAGTCCAGGAAATAAAAGATGATTAGGAGGAACATGAATAAAACTCCTTCAAAAGCTGACATATGTGTTGACTATGGGTGAATATTCTTCACAGCTCATCAGTGGAGGAACAAAATGACTTTAGCACTGTACTTCTTTAAGACCTTTGGGTACACATTTCATTTTGGCTAGGAAGTCTATGTGAAATATATTTTACCATCTCAACAGTTTTTAAAATAACTATGTAAACAGTTCACCCCCAGACAACACATAAGGCTTTATTTGGGGGAAAGAAATTGTATGATAAAGCTGACAGCCACTCTTTATTCAGGATAGATGTAGCAAGCTGTTACTACTTCTTTTTTGAACAAGAAACATTAAAAAATGACACCTCACTTAAATATAAGGCTGCTTAGACACTAAAGTGTAAGGAGTTTCATTCTCTGGTAAGAATGATAAGTGGATGTGGGTTTGTCTGTGTACAGATCACTTAGGAAAAGACAAAGTCAGAGAAACAATCAAAATGCCATAGACGCATAAAAGTAAAATGCCCCTGTAGCAAAAGAAAGAGCAAAAATGTCTATGAAGACAGGAATAATGGGAAAGAGCTCAGAAATGTGAGAAGACAAATTGTCTCCAGCTACTTGATTCCTGCTGTGTTCATAGAAAGAAGATTTTGAAATTTATTTGTAAATGAACAAACTCTATCAAATGATTTCTCTCCTCTAATGGAAATAATTCAAAGCATTCTGACTGCTTATGACTTAAAATCAAAAGGAGGTAATTGCTATTAGGTTCTGTATTGCTATTTCAGAAAAGCCATATATGAAACTGTTTAATGAAAACAGCTTGCAGACAGAGCCTCAGCTAATCTGACTTATTTAAATATTTAAAAAGTAATTTACATGATAAGTCTCTGAAAATTTCAAGGCTCACTATATACTATTTGTGCATGCAGATTTGATAAAGTGTATGTAAAATCCCAGGCTAAACCCCTGAATAGTTACTAGGCTTTGTGGATTTAGGAGCCATTGTAAGAATGATACACATATTGCAAAGGAAAGTGATAGAAAATAGTATTTAGTATAATTTCTGACTAATTACTGGGAAAAACCTCTGATGGTATACTTTTAAAAGGTTTCAGCCACCACTTTTCAAATAAAGAGGAAATCTAAAAAAGAAATTCAGTTTTAGAAACCAAATAAAAAATCTTCAGTCACAACAATAATTTGAGTTGTATGGAAATGTAGTGCCTACACAGCTACCATGCTATATGCAGATAAGCATTTTATTATTCTGAATACATGACCACTGAGATTTAGGCAAGTGACATTTTTTTATGCTATATTTATTTTTAATAAATTATGCCTTTGATTACAATTAATTAGATATATTGTGCTATTAAATATGAAACATAGATAATACCACATAGCTGGACTATTTCAGATTTATCTGATGCAGTTAGCAACAAACATAGCCCATGGCACTTGAGAAATAGCAGTGCTGAGCTGTATGATTGTAACAGGATTCTGTCTACCAAACTTTAGTCCCGCTGTCTATGCTGACGGTTGTAGAAAGAAAAACGTTTTCAACATTTTGTGAAATTCAGGCTTTTTAGTAAGTCCCATTACACTTATGCTTGAATTCACTTGCATTTGAATACTGTAAACCCTTAAAATCAAGGGACTTCAGCTGCAGAGGAAAACTGCAGAACCCTAGTCTAGGACTTGACAATGCTGCAATAATAGCATCAAGAATCCCAAAGACTGTTCTGTTCATTAGAGAGGGATTGAGAGATGTTTATGACTTAGATAAAACAAGATCGTATAATTAGTAGACTAATGAATCTAATGTAGATGTGACACCCATATTATCAATGTCAAATACATAGTCTTACAAATAATTAAGTCATTTTAGTAGTACACTTCCCTGATGTACGGTTAAAACATTTACAAGTTTATTCAAGTGACAGCCAAATAATGAAACATTATTTTAAATATTGGGCCCTCCTCATGTTTCTACCCTGGCATTCATGATAACTGGAACGGAAACCTGCATATTTCTTGGTATTTCAAAGTATCAGTACCAAAGAGAACATAACTTTCAAATGAGCTTTAGGAAGACTCATTTGTCAATAGCAACTCCTGAGACATTAGTTTAGTCTTCCTTATACCACTATTTTACACAGCCAATATGACCTGACACTTGCAAATTAGCAGGCAAGAAAGAATAGAGATTAGTGGCAGAGAACATAAATAATCTCCTCTTATAATGAATTAATATATTGTTTTAACTTTATTTTTAGGCTTCAAAAAGACAAGATACAATATTTTAACATTTGTTTGGGTTTGGTTTTTTTTTTCAAATGAAGGTTGATACTTCTCATCATAAGCCAAATTTTCAGAAAATCCTGATTTCTTCTGAAAATCAGGTCCCTTTGTTTTACTGCACTTTTATTAAGCACAGATTTAATGAGATGGACAGGTTGAAGAATTAACACAGTTTTAACCCATCCCCTGTTCAGCCAGAGTGCACTGTGATTGGGGCACTTCTTTCACAAGCCATGAGTTTTTTTTCCTCTCCCTTTACCTATTTGTGTCTGAGCTGCTTCTTCCACTACTGGGAATCAGCATCTATTGTCCTATTGCCACTGGTATCTACTGTCCTACTTACTACAATCTTATGTATTTTCTACTACAGAAAATTGTGATGTTTCAGATTTTTTCTAAAATAAGAAACAAATAGTAAGTATCACCTTCCACATTTTACATTATCAGCGAAATAGGCAAAATATAATGCAGAAAGGCTTCAAACTTAACTGAAAACTCTAATTTTAGGTACTCATTTCTAAAAATCTTTCAAGTGTTATCAATTAAAAATATTCACTTTATGACCACAAATACTGAACAATTTTCTCAAGCAAAATTACAAAAAATGTTTTGAAGTGAATATGTGAATCTTCAGGCTGCAATAAGGCTCATCAGTTATAATAACACAATAAGGGAATTACTTTTATTACTATTTTCACAGGGCAAGACAGAGAATCCTTGAAACACTATCCTTTCTTCCAGACAGCTCTTCATGGGAAAACAGACTCAAAAGTGCAATATCCATGCTACCTGAACTTTGAGAAAAACATTTAATGTATTTCTTGCAGTCCATAATAGCAATATCACTTTCTAGGAAGCCTGCTGGGCTGAGCTGCAGTGCTAAAAATGTGCTGTTTCTTATCTGGTTCTAGTCACCACTATAGTCTTACATATGTAAACCCCTTTACCCGATGATCTTTACTTCCAAAGATCTTTTCTGAAGTTAAACTCATTTTAGAAGTCCCAAGTATTCGCTGAACCTATTCTATCTTTTAATCAGTCAAGTTTCTTATTCACATCTATTTCAGACTTTGCATAACTGTCAATTGAGGACTAAAATATTTATTTACTTTTTAAAGTTAATTATTCTACAGGATTTTAAATAAACAGCCTTTATATTTTGGTGAGGAAGATGAAAGCAAATATAACACACAGTTTTATGTCAACCTTTTTTTTAACTTAATGCAAAAAGAAAATGCATTGATGCTGAACTGAACTAGTTATATCAGGATTTTGATCCTACAGTATCAGCA